GGCCCTGACACAAAGCAAATGGATGTACACACAAAACGCAGGCCCTGACACAAAGCAAATGGATGAACAACTAGGACGTTTTGCCAGAGCCTACAGTCAGTGAACAAAGAAGAAGAAGAATACAATATACCAATGATTTTGCCAATTCCATTTCTTGTTATCTTCCTCTCAAATAAGAACATTAAGGTTTAACTTTATTGGCATACATGAAAGTGCTGAAGACTAGAAACATATTTATAAAAATTATATTTCCATAAAATAATTATTCATACTGGGTTAAATGACCAGTAACAAATCTGCATGATAAACAGAAATATGTAAAGACGATACAAATGAATGCACGGGAAGACATAATCGTCAACAAGAAAACTAAAACCACAACAGCAGCAGCACTAACTTCTTCTTGCATATCTCTTCAACATGCACAACAACACAAAACAATGCATCAACAAGTAGAAATATACAGTGACACATACAATTAACAAGAGCAGTGTTACAACTCTGCATGCACAGATGTTTAGTGGAAACTCAATGTAATGTAATTCATTCCACAACTGAACCTTGAGTGAATCCTAAAACTACTTTTCACATTCAAATTAATGTAAAATAATTTCAACTCATTCCCGTTTTTCAAATATCACCCTGTTTGTTTCTTTTAACCTATGTTCATATCATTAATTGCATTGTTCACAATAATAAAAAAATTTTTTTAAATTAGTGACAGAAAATTTCACTAAATAAACTTATAATCGACACAGAGAGAAGTGCAAATACTCACACTCTGGGGGTGGGGTCAAGCTGCGGCGGTCAGGTAGGCGGATGTGGATGGATGGTGGCTGGGTACGTAGACAGAATAAAATCCAGCTCGTATCCTGGATTTCATTTTGTATTCTGGGTCTTCTCTTACCCCCTCCCCAAAATGGTGAGCCTGACCTCTTATCCTGAAAAACTTATATCCAGGTAGGCGTGTACCCTGAGGTTCCAATGTGCTTTAAAAACTACTAACTACCCTCCACTCATAAACAGCTGACAGAAATCCTAAATTACCAACATACAGATGTAACAGCGATGTATTAACTCTTTACACTAATCAACATTTTGAGTTTTCAATGTACAACAAACAAAATATATGTAACATCCTACTTCCTCCACCCACCCACACATGACATTCCTTACCCTGAGCCCCGACCCACAGGTTTTAGAATACAAATATGCTGTTCACTTTTACCAAACCCTGCTAATTCATGACTACCAACCCACTACTATCTTAGCTATACAACACCTTGAGGCTTCATACCTCAAGCTCTCATATGCCATACGTTTAACGAAGCCTGCTGCAACATGCTGGACCGAAAAATGGGTTATATATTTTTTTTTTTAAGTTAGAGATCCAAAAATTAGAATACCTCAGCCTGATGATCGAAGAAATAGGTTGGTAGTCTCATCCATCCATAATAGCCGCTGTTTACAAGATTTTTATATTTTGTCTTTAAAATTTTAAGTATAACTGAAAATAACCTGCAAAAACTGCGACAATAAATATTAATGTTATAAAATACTACCGAAAGAAATAAAAAATAAAAAAAGAGTCTAAAATACTTTGGTCATATTAAAAGACATAACACATTTTCAAAAACCATACTGGAGGGAAAGGTCGAAGGCAAGAGAGCAAGAGGTGGGCAACGATACAAGTGGGAGGACAAAATCAAGAGATGGACGGGCAACAGTCAGAGAGTGTACAACCAGGGCAAGAGACAGAGCGTGTTGGAGATCCATTGCAGCCAACCTTCAATGTGGAGACGGCACCTGATTGATTGATAAAATACTGGCCAAATAACCCCTGTCATTGTTTTTGTGATCAACCAACCAGATGAAAGTAAGCATATGCACAATAACATTCAAATGATTTCATACTGGCAGAAAATTTTAAATGCTGGTTGCAATAAAACAATATAGCAGTAAAGGCTATTATTTACAAGAAAAACCTAGAACAAATGTACAGACACACACAGAGAAATCAGAAACAGAGGCAAACATATTTAAAATACAATTTCTAATGTGCTTTTTCTATTAACTTTTATGATACACTGCTTTCCATATTTACTATCATGTCTTGAGCTTTCCCATAAATTTTTCTGTCTTGAGCTTTCCAAGACATGTTTCTTACTGTCTTATCTTCTTTCCAAGTTGGTCAGGACTTTTGCTGTGAGTGCAACCTATTTCCATTTCTTTCCATCTAGTTCTAAACATCCTTTCGTCACTTTCTTGATCGTCTGTTGTTACCAAATGGTCAGCTTCAGGTGACCAACCAACCCGTGTAGTAGGTCAAACCCATGAACATGCCAGAAACACTGGAGACCTGATACCAGTTAGGCCCCTCTCTCCCATAACCAAACAGCACAAGTGACAAGCAATCAAGGACCCTTTTTACGTGGTCAACATCATATCAAACAGGCACTGTGGACAGTACACTGTGATACCCTCGGGTAATGAATGACCCAGCTAACAACATGTCTCAGCTAATGAAGACATCTTAAGCTGTTTTTTATTTTCCACTAACGGACTTGGATTCGGCTAAAGACTAATTTAATGGAGGCATGTGCAAACATAATACAGCCTCACTGAGAGCAAAATTTCTGTATGAAATCATGTTTCAGCTAACGGCTGTCGTGCTCGAACGAAATACCTTGGTTAGCTGAAGGATGACTGTAGAGTGCCGGCTACCTCTAACTTTCCCAGAACACTGGTAGCAAAGTGATGAGGCCCAGCTAAAAGGCAAATAAAAGTTGACTGCTGGGATCAAACCCAAGCACGTTGAGCTGCTGGATGAGCCCGTCATTGCTAACCATTAAAAAATGTTTTATCTACGATAGGCAGGAGATACGACATACATTACAACTTGCCCACAAAAAGAAGCAATCAATTTAAAAAATGAAGTCCAAAACAGACAAACAATAATAGAACAACAAAAAGATGTAAAAATAAAAAATGTGATATTAAGGCAGAACAACAACAAAAGATTTGTTCAAAGAAAAAAAACATGGCAATATTAAGGCAGAAAAAATAGATATTAAAAAAAATATGTCAATATTAAGGTAAAGACACAGCTGCTATCAAATTTAAAACAAATGTTAAGGAGTAAAATAACAGAGAGTTGTTCGACAGGGCTGTTTGTACAACATACTCTTAAATAATAGTAAACACACACTTCATGGCCAGATATCAGCCTGGTCAGAAATATATCCTGTACCATCTAGCCCCAGGTGGGTGTATCTCTTTCCCTGATCCACACTTATGGTTAAGTGTACGGAGCTGAAACAAGGCTAGATGAATCGCTATCCTCATCATGTTGTCCTTTTTCAATTCATTCGTTTCTTTGTCTTTTTTTTACATTTGTCCTTCAAGGGTGGCTGGCACATCCCGCCATGGTTTACAGCTCATTAGTCACATTTTACCACATGCCTGTCAGGGGGGGCAGTGGGCCTAATTATTTTACTCCCCATGAAGCCCTGGAACCTGCACGAGGAAAACCCTATGTTAAATTGTACAGCCTCAGGAAAAATAACAAATAACTAGTACAACTGACTGCTCATGTGTACCAGGGACCTCAGAGTAAAGAACAACATCACTGCATGTTGTAGGAGGCCACTAAGGCTTGTGTGGGGCTTTAAGTTGGCAACCTCCTCCCAGTGTAAACAACAAAAGCCTCAAAAGCTAATTAGGGTTCACTGAGGACCTGTACTCCAATAGGGAATAAATAAAGCGCAGAAGAGAAGAAAAATAATAAAAAAGAGGCACATAAAACTAGTTTTCTCTGGTTACCTGTCTGATAATGAACACAAAAGTACAAAAACATGCTGCTGTTTTTAGTATCTACTGGACAATTATAAAAACAGTGAATGATCACATATAAAAACTGCTGTTCCAACATCTATTTACCACTTGTAAGTGGTATAGGGTGGAAAGGGGGGGGGGGGGGGGGGGGGAGGACACATGTTGAGAAAACTGGAGAACAATACAACTAGTGTCTCTGCACTGAAACCCACAGTGGCAGGGGAATAGAGAAAGACCCACACAAAAAACATGGAGAAGGAAGCTAGAAAGTGAAGGATAGAATGACGGAGTGAGTTGGTTGAGGGCCTATGCTCCATTGGGGGATATAAAGACAGAAGAAAGAAAATGGATGGGGGTTGGGGGGGGGGGGGGGGTGTCAGGAGCCTGATGACAAAACCCTGGCATATCAATATGTAACCTAACATTCCATGTTAAATATACTACAGGGTAAGTCAGAAATATGGCTACACATTCCAGTGTACATAAATGAATCAGAAAGCAATGATGACTTTCCCTAGCACTGCTTATTTCACTGTGATGCGGACATTGAATCTGGAAGTATACATTATTATACATACTGTTGGTCTGAAAATTCCCATGTGGCACCTCAACATTTTTTATTTTATTTTACAGCTGACTTGAAATAACTGCCTTTCCAAAATCTTTCATTCCTGTAACCAAAATACTGTCAGATGATTAAACAGGTGCAATTAAGAATGTAGGTACATTTCTGACTCACCTGTAAATCATCTGAAAATGCAATAAAATACCATCTCACATGATCTGATCTCAACTCTGAACTACTGGGAGGGGTTGCCTTCATCACATAATACAGTGCGGGCCGCTGAAGGCGATCGCGGATTTGGCGAATTTCTGTTGTGAAGAACAATTTGTTTATCCCCAACAATGTTTCTTGCTTTAACTCTTATCCAGATAAGAGGAATTTCTTGATAAGAAGAACCATGCTTGGGTCCCCAGTGAGTTTTCCTTATCAGGTCTGCATTGTACATTCCCAAAAGAGAGCAGCGGATGTACTGCTACCACCCTCAGTTGTGGAATCAACACAAAACTTATTTTAGTAGATGACCGTCAGCAATTAAGTACACATAAAAAAGACTATTCAGCAAAAAGATATCCGAGTCATCATGATACAGAGGAAATGGGGTTCATTGGTGATCCCATCTGGTGAGAACCTTATCCAGCCATTGTAGGGGTCCGTTTAAATGCAGCTCGATCCAGCAGGGGGTGGAGGTAACGTCCTGCCTGTGGTACTCTGCTCCCCAGCCCTTGACAAAGCTCATTCGGATAATGCACATTTTGTTCAGTTCGTACACAGCCTCGAACCCGTGGTTCACGGACTGTGACAGCAAAGCAGCAAATTCCTGCAAGAAACCAAAGGAAGGAACTATAGTCAGTAATGGAGCATAGGCCCTCAACCAACTCACACCAAGTCATTCTATCCTTTGCATGCAGCTCTTCCCATGTCCTCCCCATCTTTTCAACTTTATTCTCCAGCTCCCTTTATGTGTTTTTTGGCCTTCCTTTATTCCTATGCCCCTGTGGCTTCCAATGCAAAGACATTCTAGTTATATTGTTCTTGGGTTTTCTCAACGTGTGACCTATCCACCGCCAGCATCTCTTTTTCCCCTCTTGGTTCACTGGAACATGTTTAGTTCTATCCAAAAGCTCTACATTAGCCATTCTATCATACCATTTAATTCCCTCTATTCTGCACAGGTACCAGTTAATGAATGTCTGTAGTTTATTACTAACTGCCTTAGTTGTTTTCCATTTTTCACCCCATACAGAAGTACTTATTTGACTTTAGTATTTCTTTTATTTCTTTTTGACCTCCACAAATTCCCTAGCAACTAACAGGTCAATAAGTTGAACTGGCTGTGTGTGGAATTAATATTTTTCAACACTATTCTCATTTAAGTGGATTACAAACATTGTATTTAAAACACAAGAATTAAATCTATTTACAAACAATTATTGTATATAATATGCAAAATACATAATATGTTCTCTATTGTCTCAGCTCCAAGTCCAAGAACATTTTGACACAACCACTTATTTTCTCTACTCCTGGAATGCCTCATGTCATCAGGGATGAAAAGATCTTTGAAACGGGTCCTTTCTGTTTGCTTCGTGTAAATTACTTTTCAGCGTCTCTGATATTTCTGCAATCCATCTTCTGTGTGGTCGACCTCTGGCCCTGTTACAGCTGTATCTGTTTAACACTGCTCTCTGTAGTGCCCTGTCTGATGCCAATCTTGTTACATGGCCAAACCATTTGATTTGATGTCTACCTACAAAGTTCAGTATTTGTTCTGTGCCAACTTCCTGATATCATCATTCCAAAGCCAATCTTTCCTAGTTACACCAAGCATAGTGCATAAACATTACACTTCTGTTGTGACTATTTCTCTTCTGTCGTTTGAAATAAGTGTCCATGTTTGACACTGATAGCATAGCATTGGTAAGATTACCTGCTGCAGATTGCATACAGGTTATTGTGGAAGATTTTCTTGACTCAAACATGGTCTTTCTAGTCAACCAGCGTGTGTGTGTGATGTATGTATGTATGTGTAGGCGTGTTTGTATACATGTGATTCTGAGTATGTTGTTTGTCTGCTTGCGTATCTGCGAATGTATGCGTCTGTGTCCTTGTGTATGTTTGCGAATGTGTGTGTTCGCGCGTATGTCCATGTGTATGTTTCAGTGTGAATTGGTCTGTGTGTGTTTCTGTGTGTTTAAATGTGCCTCTTTGTTGTGTATGTGTGTCTGCGTGTGTGTGTGTGCGATTGGATACATGTAGCTGTGTATATGTGACTGTGTGTGTGTCTGTGTTTGTCTGCATGTGTGTGTGTCTCAGTGTTTTTCTGCATATTTGATGTGACAGTGTGTATATCTACGTGTGTTTCCCCGTATGTGTTTGTCTGCATGTCTGCCTGTGTATGTTTATGTGTTTTGTCTGCGGGTGTGTCTATGAGGCTGTATGTACGTATCTCTGTGTGTGGGTGTCTGTATGTCTGTCTGTGTGAGTGTATGTGTCAGTATGTGTCTGTCTGTCTGTGCATGTGTGTTTCTCTGTGTGTATTGTGTGTGCCCCTTTGTTGTCTGTATGTGTCTGCATGTCAGAGTATATGTCTGTGCGTGCTGAATATATGTGTCTGCGTGTGTATTTCTATGTGTTTGCATTTCTGCGTGTTTGTCTGTGTGGGTGTCAGTATGTGTTTGTCTGCCTATTTGTCTGTATTTGTGTGTGTGTGTGTGTTTGACTGCATTTGCGTCTATGTGGCTGTATGTATGTGTCTGCATGTTTGTCTGTGTATGTGTCTGTCTGTGAGCACGAATGTAAATATGTGTGCTGTGTGTTTCTCTGTGTGTGTGTTTATATGTAAGTGTCTGTGTGAGTGTCTGTGTGTGCATATGTGTGTCTCCTTGTATGACTGTATTTATGACTGTATGTGTGTATGCCTGTGTTTGTATCTATGTATGTATGTGTGCCTGTGTGTATGCCTGTATGCATGTTTGTATGCATGTATGTAATGTATGCATGCATGTATGTGTGTGTGAGTGGGTGAGCGTGTGTTTGTGGGTGTATGTATGCATGCACGGGTTTTTGCATGCACTTTACAACTCATGCTTTTGTGTTCTTTTATAATATTCATAATATGCATATCATCATATGATCATAACATGCTTTATTAGTAAAATACAACTGCTGTGCGAAAGATGGTTGACTGGAAGGGCCGAATGTAAAACGGGCCTGCGTGCCCAATTTGTGACCCTTTGAAAATAAAATTTATTCATTCGTTCGTTCTGTATGACACACTGTCTACAATTCCCCATAAAACAATGCTATTACTTGCGTGTGGGAAAGATAAAAGGTGCCATTACTGAGCGTGTACACCGATTTCATCTTTTTCTGTATTTGCCATTGAAAGGACAATTAGCACATTATGTTGTGCTTTATTTACAGCTAGGCTAGAATATCTGCCTGTTTCAGCCCAACACACCCAACTTCAGCAAACTTCTAATTAGTTGCCTTTTACAACATGCTTATTTTGAAAAGGGGGGGGGGGGGGGGGGGGGGGGCAGTGGATCTTTTCATCCCCCCCCCCCCTCTCCAGACAGAGCAATTTCTTCCTATTCTTCTCTGTGTTTATCGGCTGTATATTCTGACAGGAAGTTCTGCTGGTTGTTCGCCCACTTCTGGATTCAAGTCTTGTTCCAGGACTTGAGATTTGCATGGAGGACATAAGTTCTACAGATCAGGCTTATTTGTAAGCTTTTTGTTCCTTGCCTCTAAGACAAGTGCGCTTGGACATCAAAGGAAACACCCCCATTTGTTGACCTTTGTGACATGCCTGTTAAGGAATCAGTGGATCTATCCCCCCCCCCTCCCCACAAACCCAAATGGGAACCTTAGAACCCATACTGGGAAATGGGACAACAAGGCATCATTCATGGGTGTGAAGCCACAAACCTGGTTGTTGAAGATCTTGAGACTACAGTTTGGCGGAATCTTGCAGACAGTGGTGGGATGGAAGCCATGTGAGTAGTTGCAGTTGCGGCTCTGGACAAATATGCTGCTGTCGCTTAAACACTCAGCATACACTTCACCGCCCACGTAATACAGGTGAACACCTGTAAACACACCAATTATGTAACAGCACATGTTAACACAGGAACTATGTAACAACATGCTTGAACACAACAATTATGTAACAGCACATGTTAACACAGAAACTATGTAACATGCTTGAACACAGCAATTATGTAAAAGCACATGTTAACACAGAAACTGTAACAACATGCTTGAACACACCAATTATGTAACAGCACATGTTAACACAGAAACTATGTAACAACATGCTTGAACACAACAATTATGTAACAGCACATGTTAACACAGAAACTATGTAACAACATGCTTGAACACAACAATTATGTAACAGCACATGTTAACACAGAAACCAACAACAAGCTTGAACACACCAATTATGTAACAGCACATGTTAACACAGAAACTATGTAACAACAAGCTTGAACACACCAATTATGTAACAGGACAAGTGAACATAGAAACCATGTTAAAACAAGCTTGAACACACCAATTATGCGAACATAGAAACTACGAACAAACAAACTTTATTTTCAAACGGTTACAAACTGGGCACGCAAGCCTGTTTTAGATTCAGCCCATCCAAACACTTACTTTTCACACAGCAGTTGTATTTTATCAATAAAGAATGTCTGTTCACCAAAAAATATGCATAATATCACTATGTAGCAACAAGCTTGAACACGGCAATTATGTAACAGCACATGTTAACACAGAAACTATGTAACTGTAAGCTTGAACACAACAATCCTGTAACAGCATATGTGAAAACAGAAACTATGTAACAACAAGCTTGAATACACCAAGTATGTAAAGCACATGTAACATGTAAACACAGAAACTATGCAACAACAATCTTGAACACAACAATCCTGTAACAGCATATGTGAACAAAGAAACTATGTAACAACAAGCTTGAATACACCAAGTATGTAAAGCACATGTAACATGTAAACACAGAAACTATGCAACAACAAGCTTGAACACAACAATCCTGTAACAGAATATGTGAACAAAGAAACTATGTAACAACAAGCTTGAATACACCAAGTATGTAAAGCACATGTAACATGTAAACACAGAAACTATGTAAAAACAAGCTTGAACACAACAATCCTGTAACAGCATATGTGAACAAAGAAACTATGTAACAACAAGCTTGAATATACCTATCATGTAATGAACACAGCAATTATGTAACAATAAGCTTGAACACAACAACCCTGTAACAGTAAATGTGAATACTGCTATTATGCAAACAGAGTGAGTGTAGATCTACAAATTCAGCAAATGGACTAATAAGCAAATGCACTCGATACAGAATGGGTTAAACATGGATTATTTTATCTCTGTAGCCAAACCATTTTTCTAATAATCCATCGTCTTCTTCTTTTACCACTTTGGGTGTCGAGGGAGACATTAGGTTCTGCTTCATGCTCTTCTGACCGCCTTGATCACTGATCTATCATGTTGTTGTAGAGTTTCTCTAAATTGATCTTCCCATACTGTTTTGGGTCTACCTCACGTTCTACATCCTTCTCCTCATTTGATGTACGCCTTGTATGATATGGCATCACAAGGCATTCTTCTCTAAAGTGGGCAGACCATTTCTTCATTTTCTTCACATTCAATGGCTGTAAACTCTTACAGAAAGTTATGAATGTTCATCCACTTCTGGACTTTGGTCTTGTTCCACAAATGAAGTTTTCATCAACTTTACAAATCTAGATCAAATGCATGGCGACTGCAGGTTCCTTGTCTCTCAGGCAGATGTACTTCGACTTCGAAGGAAACTCCCAATTAGTCGACTTTTGCAGCATGCTTGTTAGGGATGCAGTGGGTATCAACCCCCCCCCCCCCCCCCCCCCCTTCCAAAGATAGAGACCATGGAACCATAAACGGAATAGTTCATTTTCTGTTTGAGTGTGACTTGTGTAATAATCGCTGTTCTGTACATATTTTTTTTTTTCAGGAATTTATTAAATAAGGGCCACTGGCTTTACTTTTTTTCCAGGATCTCCGGCATGAAAAGGCTCACATTTTTTATTTAACAAATTCTTCATATTTAACTAGCTTAAGTAACACATGTGGTTTTCACCCCTGCACCACGTGCTGTCTAAAAAAAGATGGGTATACCCCCATATGACTGATGTGCCAATGATGTGACAAAAGTTCTTGACTTTACCTAGCACCAGCATGAAACTGACAGTCCACAAACATTTCTTCTTCTCAGCGTTCACTGACCACAAACTCCAGTGGAGTTTCTGGTTGTTAGTCCACTTCCAGACTTGAGACTTGCTCAAGAACTGGCTTATCTGTTGTATGCAGACTGTTGGTTTCTCACCTCCCAGGCAGATGAAAACAAACATTCCTAATTTGTCATCTTTTATGACATGCTTGTTAAAAAGGCAGTGAGTCTATTCTTACCCCCCCCCCCCCCAATAGGGCCCCGGAACCCATACAAGGAAAACATACATACAACTCACCTCTTCCGATATGCCGCCGTGTATTTTCAATGGTGGAGTTTCTGTTGACATTGGACAGCAAACCCAAGCAGAAGCGATCGGTCCGCGAGGGATCAGTGAAGCCGTCGACAACGATACTGTTGGAGGAAGCTTGGAACTGCTCCCCCACACGATTATTCAACTCATAGTAGACAATGTTACACCAGTAATGGGGCTCCTGGTAGTTGACAGCCTGCTTGTCTAAAAATGAATTCAGAATAAACATTTCAAATTTAATACAGAAAAAACATTTCATATTTAATACAGAATAAACATTTCATATTTAATACATAAAAACAGGGGGGAAAAACATTTCCAATTTAATACAGAATAAACATTTCCAACTGAATACAGAATAAACATTTCCAACTGAATAAAGAATAAATATTTCCAATTTAACTCTTTGAGTACCAAGGAACGCATCATACGTTTATAGATTCCTACCTAGAGGCCCAATGAACGCATGATGAGCCGATTTTACGTCTCTCTCCACTACCCCTTGGGCCTGTGATGCTAAACCCCCTGGGACTCAAAGAGTTAATATGTAATAAACATTTCATATTTAATACAGAATAGACCTTTCATATGTAATACAGAAAAAAACATTTCATTTTTAATACAGAATAAACATTTCATATTTAACACAGAATAAACATTTTATATTCAATACAGATTAAACATTTCCAATTTAATAAAGAATAAACATTTCCAATTTCATACAGTATAAACTTTTCCAATTTAATACAGAATAAAAATTTCAAATTTATTATGTATGCATAACTTTTTTTTTTTCAATTAACTCTTTCAGTCCCAAAAGGTCCTGGTTTTTAATAAAATAATGTGATTATGTTTTAAAAAAAGTAAAGGATATTTTTCACACTAATTGTCCATCCATGGGTGATGTGGTCAACACCATGTTGGTCACCTTTACTTCCCTTGATTTATCCTGGCACCCATTGTAGGCTTTGTCAACCTGGCAGCCAATCAGATCAGTGGAAAAAATCTGACTTGACACAGATTCAAAACCAACACCTTCAGACCAGCAGACAAGTGTCTAGCCGCTACACCAACATGGCTGCCCAGGTGGTCCTAGCTGATGGACTAATGTCTCCACGACAAAGTCGTCAAGCCATCTGATATGTACACTGGGATGGTCAAGAGTTTGTTTTATGAATGCATCATTCAGGTCACGAGTGCATGTCTTACGGAGATTCCTGGAGATCGACAGTGGAGTTGCGGAGATTTTGGTCTTTAAGCAATGCTCACAACATGGTGGCTAGCAATTCTGCTAAGACAGACCGAGCTACATAAGATAACCTGGTGCAATGTAGAGATCCTCTCCACTTGAAACTTTAACTAAGGTCAACATTACATTCATGGGTATTTTCTTGTCTTCCTCTTAAGCATTCTGAGCCCTTCAGGTTCACTGCTGCAGATATCACCCACCTCCATTCATCTCTGTGACTGGCCTTCTCTTTCTGGTTGGTGTCTCCAAGCATTTGTAGGTCTCTGTCTGTGTATCTTCCCTCCACCATCTTCTTGCTCTGCCTTATGATCTACTCCTATTCAACTCCTTTCTGTAAACCGTTTATCTCTGTTATTTATCATTCTCTCTATACACATAAACACCCATTCCTGGAAACAAACAAGTTGTTAAGAGTTATTTATAGAGTCCCTGACTACATATAAGATGTAAACACATAAGTAATACACTAAATTTATATACTCAGTAGGTTGCTTGGGATGAAAAGTTGAGTGATTAACGTTTCTTATGCAACAATTCCGGCATCTGGGTCACACAAAAAGTTTGTGTGCTTGAGGTCTTCCCAAGCTATCCAGTTTTTCCTCTTTTTTTTTTTTTTTTGCGTTTACCAGCTGTAAACTCCGGTGGAAAGTTATCCACTTCACCTGATTTCAGCAAACCCTAAACTAACTGCTTTTTACAACATGCTTGTTAAGGGACAGTATGACCCCTCCCCCCTTAAAATGGCCTTGGAGCCCATAAAGCGACTCCCCCACTAGTGACCAAGCACATAAGACATTTGAAAGGCTAACCTCTCACCTGTGATTCTGGGGTGTCCAAGTTTTGACAGAGAAAAAGCTGTGCTTGGAACAGGGGGCCCTGCGTGTGTCGGATTCGGCTGGTGAGTAGTTTCCATGGGCTGGGGTCCGTTCTGATTGTTCTGGCTGTCCTCATGAGCTTGGTAGGCTGGAGGTGGTGTGTCTGCTGTAAAATGTGTAGCAATTTATGTACCTGAAACTCATTTGTTAACACAAGGTAAACGATCAAAAGGTAATGACTTTTTGCTCTTTTCTGTAACTTTTTGGCACTTTTCTGTCATCAGGCAATGAGAGAGCAGTGGCAGTGTGACTATCAAGAATGGACCCTCTATGGATAGAGGAGACATCATCAATGCCATTCGAGGGACTAAATGTTGTGACGCTTTTAGTTTCATGGAAAATTATTTTGGGTGTACCAACTGGAGCCGTGAGATAGGAAAACCATGCAGGAGCTGCCCATCGTTACATCCACCAGAACAGAATGGGAGTTATTAGCACAAAAATGTTTGGAGACGTACTCAGGAAGAGATCGCAGCACTTATGTTCATGTCTGATGTGCAATGAAGATGATCGCACAAATATACAATATGATAATGATTTATTGTACTACTATAGGGAGGTCAGCATCTGTGGCTTAGACACTGCAACCAAGCTCTGTAATGCAGGGTTCAATCCCTGCTGCAGGTGATTTGGCAGCAGACTCCCTTGCGTAGGGTTCAACAGTCGCATTGAGAGCCGACAATCCAGAAAGCAATGACATAAATTTGCCAACCAAAACCACATCAGTCAAAAAAATGCTGGGTTGGTTCTGCAACGTCCTGTAAAGGATACTTTTGGGACTGAGCCTCGAGAGGCAGGGGGTAAGAAGTGTTGGTGTTGTGGGTAGTGGGTTCCCCCCCTTACTTCACCTAGGTCTAGTGAATATCTGTTCACGAAAGGAGCGTCCATTGTGGTGTCAGCCTCTTGACCTAGCAAAACCTCTCTTACCTCAAGACCATTGTGCGTGGCGAAGAGTCACAGCCTCCCCGAGGTAGCCCTGGTAACTGGGGGTGCGAATCCCCAGGCAAAACACAATGGATCTAGAGGAGCAAACCTCGATAATAAACCCGGTGCACCACACCGTACTGCCCCCTGTGGGAGGGAAGGAGCCAGAGGTGTGCTGAACAGTCTTAGGAATGGAAACAAGTATGCTAACCCCCCTGAAAACCGGAAACTATCGTGAAGGCACAGGGACTCAGGACATGATGATCCAGTTGCCCCAACTACTCATGCTTAGGCCATGCTTAGAGCCATGAAGAGCTCAGCGAAACCTGCAGGCAATCTGGTGGCGGGGAATGAGCACACTGTGAGCCCCACCTTAGCTACGTGTTAAAGGAAAAGGCAGAAACACAGCCCATATTTCCTTTAGAAGTGGTACAGGGCATTTCTGGCTGCTGCCCGGGGAGGTAGGTAATCCACAGACACCCCAGCACCACAATGCCATGAATATGTCAAAGGATACTTTTAACGACAGGGGGCAGGGAACCACAGCCCACTCTGATGAGCTATCGAAGCCAGGGATGAAGTCCCTCCTCTCCACAGCACAAGTCTGGGCAGTATTCTAGAGACTGTGTAGTGTCTATAAATCATGATCCCTCTCTCGGCCGTTCTTGTCTGTTCTTTGCTTTCACCATCTGTAAACTTCAATGGAAAATACAAGGTTGTTTGTACACCTCAACACTATGGTCTTGTCCCATAACTTGAGTTTTGTGGGCACAGAACAGGTTTATTTGTATGTAGGCTGTTGGTTCCTTGAATTGCAGGCAGATGTACTTTGACTTTGAAGGAAACACCCCTAATTAGTCGCCTTTTACGACATGTCTGTTAGGGGAATGGGTTGGGAAAAGTGGGTCTATTCCACCCCCCCCCTCACAACATGGGGTCCCAGAACCCACACAAGAAGCCTCTCTTGTTTATTCCAAAGGAAAAACAACAATATATTTGGAACAAACCATACTGCAAGAAGCTGGTATTTTAGCAAAAAGTGCTCTGTCTGTTCACCTGTTGGACATACGACTGGTTGGTTGTAAACAATCTGGATGGAAAACTGAGCTTTAACTCTTTATCATTTAAGCCCTGAAAAAGGGCTTGTTTCTATCAGAAAGAACTTAGTAAAGAGACTTTTCTTCAGATGTTATACCAGAGTTTCATTTCAATGTGTTGCAGAGGTCTCCTTCAACTCTCCAAGGTCTTGAACCAGCAGGATTTTAATTTTTTAAGGTTAGAGGTCATGTCCGGTACTGCTAAAAAACAACTAAGTCACCTCTGGACTCGCTGACAACTAAGTCACCTCTGGACTAGCAGACAACTAAGTCACCTCTGGACTCGCAGACAACTAAGTCACCTCTGGACTCGCAGACAACTAAGTCACCTCTGGACTCGCAGACAACTAAGTCACCTCTGGACTCGCAGACAACTAAGTCACCTCTGGACTAGCAGACAACTAAGTCACCTCTGGACTCGCAGACAACTAAGTCACCTCTGGACTCGCAGACAACTAAGTCACCTCTGGACTCGCAGACAACTAAGTCACCTCTGGACTCGCAGACAACTAAGTCACCTCTGGACTCGCAGACAACTAAGTCACCTCGGACTCCAGACAACTAAGTCACCTCTGGACTCACAGACAACTAAGTCACCTCTGGATTCCAGACAACCCATTATAGTTTCATTTGTGATGGATGACCATTTGCATGCTGAGTATTGATAATTAGTACGGAAAAATGGCTTTTTGGTTATGTTTTTCTTGACCTTGCTGTGTTGTGAAAATAACATTCATGTCTTGTGAAAATACTTGTAAACTATTATTTCACACATTACAAGAGGATTCTAATAAATAAACAGTCGGAAATCAACTTACCTGGAAGACCAAAAGGACTACCTGGGCCTGAACTGGGCGTCTGGGGAGAATGTTGTGGTGGGAATGGATAGGTGATATTGTGAGGCATGGATGGTTCTGGAATCTGCTGGAATGGAGTTAAAGCTCCGTGAGTTGGATACTCACTGTATCTGGGAACAAGCACAGGAGGTAGCACTGAAAAATACAAATGAAAAGACATTACTGACAGAAAAGGTTTCCACTTACCTATTTGTTGGTGTAAAGACGATCACTTGTACAAGAACCACCCCAAAAATGGAACGAAATTTTCCATAAAAAACTCAAATTTAATTCCCACACTCATATCAATAAATTCTAGCCGGTCTAAACTTTTCCCACGTTGTGCACGCTCTCCTTTGTTCATTCTGCTTTCTGCTGATCTACTGCTGTGTTCTTCTGCATATTTTATCACCTAGGGGGCTTAAACTGGCAGTGTAAGAATGCTGCTTGCTATCTTTTTCCAAATTGCAGGAAAGTATGATAAATAATACTATAATTAGGCCTGCCTTCACTGTATAAGACGCAGGCTAATTTTGGGAACCAAAAAAAAAAAAAGTGTCTCTTAAATACTTAGAAATATGGTACATAACAAATCAATCTTACATTCTTCTTCTTGTCTCTACTCCTGGAATGCCTTGCAGCAACAGGGCAGGAAGAGATCTCTAGAACAGGCCCTTCTGTTCGCTTCATATATCATTGCTTTTGTGGTGCCCTGTCTGATGCCAATCTTGTTACATGCCAAAACTTTGACTTTTTTGGGTCTAACTATAAAAAGTTCAGTTTTGGTACCGTGCTGATTCTCCTCCTGATATTATCATTTCTAATTTAATCTTTCCTTGTTACACCTAGCATTGTACGTACGTAAATATTTCATGGTTGTTTAGACCCATCCACTGATTTTTTTAAGTTTCCACTGAAGTAAAGGAAAGGACCCTTTCATGAACAATTTCACAATTACAAAGATTTGTAACTTCAAAATTATGTTCCTTTCAGTAGCTACAACAAAATTACTGTTGTTAATTACCTCCCACAATCGTGTTAAAAGAACCTCAAATTTGCAAATTTAAAGCAAAACACTAAGCAGGTGAACAAATAAATACATTAACAACAAAGTTAAGAATCTTAAAGAGCTTGTAACTAAATTTGCCTGGATAATCTATAAAAGCAGAAAAGACAAGAAAATAGATAAGACTGTATTCCAGCCAAACCCAATATCTTCTTTATTTCTGTATTCACCAGCAAAAAGTTCTGGTTGATCGTCCACTTCTGGATTTAAGTCAGTTCCACAATTTGAGTTTTTTTGCATGCTCATTCGTTTTACACATCAGGCTTATTGTATGCAACTTGTTGGTTCCACTGTCAGTTCCTAGCCTCTCAGGCAGATTCCCCCTGACTTCAAAGAAAACAGCCCTAATTTGCTAGTCTTTACGACATGTTTTCAGGGGGCAGTGGGTTTATCCCCCCCCCCCCAACACGTGGCCGCCGAACTCACAAGGAGATCCTTCTTCTTCTTCTACATGTGTCCCTAAAAGGGTGGTTGATATGTACTAAAATTCTAGCAGCTGTTAAAAATACAACTCACCTGGGCTTTCTACACGGCGGTAGTGGTAAGGGTTTATGCACACCTCCTTCTGTTTGGCGCTGAACGGATACTCGCACGAGTCCAACGGCTTCAGTTCATGATGAGACTGAAGATCCGGCCAACGCCAAACTCGGCAGTAGATTACGTGCGGCAGACCTTTTCTGTGGGACACCTGCAGGCGCCCGTCTAATGACCGCTGAATGGTCACACACTTGGTATGAGGATCCTTGCAAGACAAGGCCTTCTCGAGGTCTTCCAATGCACCTAAGTGTAAATAGCATAAATAATAAGTTACTCTCCTGATGGTCAGTAAATAAAATGGTTATATCTGTAAAAATACAAGTAACCTCAGGGTGACTATTGCTATAAGGTGGTGAAGTGTTAGATTTTACTGTCATGAAGAAATGAAGTGTTACCTCTTCCCATCTATTAGACAACAGCACAATGAGTTGTAGGTTAAAATCTGAATTGAGAGAGGGATAAACGGTGTCGCAAAAATTTACAAAAAAATTAACAAATCCATCCCCCAAGCCACCTGAGATGTGCAAGATAAATACAGACGACCACAACACTGGGCTACAACCTGGTATGGTATCAGTAAGATGACAAAAAAACACAGAAGTACCTGCAGGATTCTCATCAGAAAAGTGACACTTTGCATTAACCAAGTGTTAATCGCTCCTAAAATCCTAGCTTGTGGTACTAAACACAATGACATCCAAGACTATTCTTCTTCTACCTTTCTATCCCCCAGTACAGCACAGGCCCTCAACCAACTCACACCAAGTCGTTCTATCCTTTGCTATCGCATGCAGCTCTCACCAAGTCCTCATCGTCTTCACTCTCTAGCTCTCTTCTCTGTGTGTTTTTGGCCTTCCATTATTTCTATGCCCTTATTGGTTACGGTTCCAGTGCAAAGACACTCTTATGTAGATTGTTCTCAGGTTTTCTCAACGTGTGTCCTATCCAACAACAGCATCTTTTCTTCATCTTTTGGTCCCAAGACTGTAAGCCATCAGGTTTTAATCCTCTAAACACATCAGAGGGACAGCAGGTTCAGTAAACAAATTAATGCTGCAGTCATTGCTTTTGTTTATTTGGTTGCTAAAGTTACTGGCTCTGTTCTGCTATTACTCCTCCAAATCTTTGCTTGCTAAACTAGGGAAAAAAAAGAAGAAAAACAAAACTTCGTCACATTCAACCAGAGGGGGGGATGACTAGGTTACAACTGTGCAGTGATAAGCCATATAAAAATGGCTGAGCACTGCATGCCAGCAAGAGCCCTGAAAAGGACTACTGCAGTACTGATGAGATCAGAACAGACCCAAATACTGTTCCGATATGAAAAATCTACCCGTGAGCTAACCGCACAACCCAGTCAATGATGCCTCAACACTTTTTATTAGGATTTGTATATTGTTTCCACTCAGTCTCTTTCATAATCTGGCTGCTTGCTGCGTTTTTTTTTTTTTTTTTTAACTGAGTTACACTTTTGTGATCATCTTTGGCAGTTCATACATTTTTTAGCTGTCTTTTTGAAATCATGGAAACATTTCGATTACTGAGTGGTGCTGGTTGAAGATTTCTCATCTGTAAGAGGTTCAGCTTCTTCTTGGTCATTAGTGACTTCACTTGTTTTGTTTTAGAGTTAAATTACTTTGTACTTTGTCATTTTACGCTAACAGTTTTTTAAATGAGCACTTTGTGATCACTCCCCCCCATGTGTCCAATTTCACATATTAACAGATGAGCATACAACAAATTAACCACAAACCTTTTCTTTTCTTTAGTTTCTTAACGAGAGAATCTACTGCCTTCTCAGCCCATTTCTCCTCCTCATCACCTTGCTTCCAGCCTAACAGTCGTTTGACTGCAGGGCTGGTAAATGTGAAAATACTTGAAAGTGGGGAATTCATTTTGTGACCTGAAATCAACATTTCACATTTTTTTAATAATGAAGACATAAAAATGATTAACTGTCACGTAACTTCTTACATAACTGTTCAGATCATCATCAAGTGACTTGCCAGCTGGCATTGGCGTTCATGCATTTCCTCAGATCTCGGTCTTTGGTGTTTTGGATCAATTCCACTGATGATATTCCTCATGCCATTGTCTTAAGCGATCCACCATTGTTTCTCTCGGTCTGCTTCTGCTACCAGTGATCTTTCCGGCCAACACGATATTTTCCAGTGCTCCATTTCTCCCTACATGACCAAAGAACTTTGTCTTCTTCTCATTGTTGTATATAATGTTCTACTTTCATTAGCGATTTGCAAGCAATCATTGCTAGTTATTCTGACAGTCCAAGGTATTCGCAACATTCTTCTTAAGTACCACATATCAGTTGCCTCCAAACTTTTCTTAATTTGCTCACATTCCAAGATTCACTGCCATACACAGCTGCCCAAGAGGCAGGGAAATGAAAAACGGTTGTACACGCAAAAATCAGGTCCAGGTGAAAGCCAAAAGTCCAAGCGGACGATTAACCGGGACCTTCTACTGGAATTCACAGCCGGTGTTCGATGAAAAAAAAAAAAAAAAAAAAAACTGCCATACAACAGAACAGGCTCGATGTAATTAACAAACACACACAAACGCACACTTTTTTTTTTATTAGTGACCTGTGTACAAATATTTTTCTTTTCAAGAATGTTTCCTGGGAATTCCCGGGGATCTTGCCAATTTTTATAGCTCCTTGGTTTAAAGAGTTATGGATCATAATGTCCAACAAAATTTTATCTAAAAACAATTTACCAGTAGTTGTTTATCATGACCATATGCTTACTGCCCATCTTAACCCTATATCACTTTCTGTACCGTACCTTATCTTGCAGGGGTTATAGAGATTCTGCAACTAGATAATAAGCACACCTCAGAATATCTGCACTGGTATGTGCTTCTATCCACCCAGTCAATAACAGCTTTTATTTCAATTTCCCAGACAGGAAGTAGAGCCAGAGTTTTAACTCTTTTCAGTCCCAATGAAAGCAACATAGATTCCAATTCCAACCTCGAAGCCTAATGAAGGCAAGATGCGCTGATACTGCATTTCTCTTTACCACCCCTTGAGCCTCTGATGCTAAACCCCCTTGGACTGAAAGAGTTAGAGACTACCTTGAATCTAGTGGCCGAGCAGAATAAGACTGAATTAAATAATGTCACAGAATCATGAATATAGAGCTTACAGAGATATCTAAACAAATGTCAGTGAATCAAGAGGTGAGGAAAAGATGCTGGCAGTGAACAGGACACTTGTGAAAACCTGATAATATAAAGGTCTTTTCAGTGGAACCAACAGAGTCAAAGGAAGAAACATGAAAAAGTGTACTAAAAACTAAATTAAAAAAAAAAAATAGGGAAAGCGTGGCGTGAGCTGCATGCAACCGCAAAAGATAGGATGGTCTGGTACGAGTTAGCTGATGACCTATGCTCCATATGAGGATAGAAGGCAGAAGGTTATTTCTTTTATTGATGATTTATTATATTTATGACTTTTCAATAAGTGACTCAAATGAACCAGTATACTTTGCAATGTTATTCCTCATGCACTGAGAAAATCTGATAAGTAGAATATCCTCGCACAGGAACCTACCGAGGAGAGAGAGAGGGAGGGAAACCTAAAAAATGAAAAATTGAGAATTACAAGCAGATGTTAACTCTTTCAGTCCCAAGAAAAGCGCCATACGTTCAGAGATTCTTACCTAGAAGCCCACTGAATGCAACATGGCCCAGTTATACGTCTCTCTTTCCTACCCCTTCGGCCCCTAATGCTAAACCCCCTGGTACTAAAAGTTAATAATATCGAAAGGAAATAAAGAAAGCTAAAAAAGGTGGCAAAAGATATGTGAATGAGCCTCTGCTTCATATAAGTTGGGGATAAATGCAGAATGTTAATAATAGTGTAGATTTGTGGCTTGAAGTTTGTGAATGAGCCTCTGCTTCATATAAGTTGGGGATAAATGCAGAATGTTAATAATAGTGTGGATTTGTGGCTTGAAGTTTGGTGAATGCTTTTAACAATCTCAAGATCCTCTTGTACTAGGGCTCAAATAGTTTATTTTAAAAACCGTTCTCATGGTTTTCTGACATTATGACAGTCACACTGTGGAAGAGACAAGACTGAGGCTTAGCCCTGTAACATTCCAAATCCAAAGACTGCAGTGGCTACACTGTAGATGACCGTCACTGAGTAGATAGCACCCAATTTTATTTTACAAATATAATGGGGAGTGATATGATACAAGAGACCCCCGTGTGGGTTCCGGGGCCCCATTGTGGGGAAAACAAGAATAGACCCACTGCCTCCCCAAAAGCATGTCGTAAGAGTCGACTAATTGGGAAGCTTCCTTTGAAGTCGGAGTGCATCTGCCGGAGAGGCAAGGAACCAACAGTCTGTATTCAAGAGAATGAGATCTGTAAAACTGATGCACACGCAACACTCAGGTTCTGGAGCAGGACTGCAGTTCAGTAGTGGACGAGCAACCTGAACCTTCCGCCAGAGTTTACAGCTGGTGAACGTGAAGAAGAAGAAGAAGATACAAGAGAGCAGCTGGCTGAGTGGTTACAATGTCAGGGAGACCATGGTTCAACCACTGGTAAGGTGATGGGATTTTTTTTTCTGTTGTGAAGAAAATTAAGCATCCTAACCTGCAGCACCAGACATGCGGCACTAATTCCTCAGCTCACGACCCCCCCCCCCCCCCCTCCCCCTGAACCGTCTTAAAATGTGGTAAATACAGACAGCAGTGAATTATGATATTGTCTGCTAGATGCAGCCAATAATATCAACATCCCTCAGTAAATACAACTAAAAATGCAAACTTGTCCTTATTTAAGAGACTATAAGTGGAACTGCGACATTATAAATTTATACATTTGATACAGTATCTCATTTTCACAAATTAACCGTAAATCAGTCAGTCATCTTTCAATTCTATCAATCTAGCCGCGGGTAGTCAAGTGGAGTAGTACTACTACTTATAACTAGTTCTTACTTTTACCTGCTGTAATAAATCCTTGACTTTATACGCTGGATTTTATATAAGATTGTGTTTGCAATAGCAGTCGATCGTTTACTTTTGATTCAAAGAATAGTTTGCAAATACAAATAGGTATACGATCTGAGAGAAATGAGATTTCAGAAGTCAGTTCTTATCCTGCTGCGGAAGGCACCAAGTACTTCACTTCACTTCCGATTTAAAATGTTCCGTATCAACGCACAAATCCACACTTCTAACCACCGAAAACTATAATAATTAAATATATAATAAACTTACTTGACTTATTTTATGATTGTTGAAAACGGATTTGTTCAACATCAGCCTGTACTTGTAAAAGCCTGTATTTTGGTATTAAGTTTGTTAACCGTTGAGCAAGAAGGCCGCAAACGACGACTGGGCTGTGAGTGTGAACGGTAGTCGTCTATATGGATTTCGCTGTCAGGGAAAGACTGACAATTTCTACTGACAGTGCGAGTGCTCAGCTTTCATGCATGCCTGTATGCAGTCTACTTTCCGAGTAAACACTAGGATAAAACAAAATATAAAGGCATTCGTCAACATCTCTTTTACTGGCGACGACAGACGAGAAATAGATCTAGCATGGGGGGAAAGTTTGCAACAGGTATTAAGACGCTATAGGAAAAACAAACAGGCTTTCAAAGCACAAAATGTGATAATTTTACGCTTGTATGTACAGATATATAATAAATTTTTCTAGGAAATATAATACTATTGTTTTTTGACCCAAAGGAATTTTATATTTATATATTTTTATTAATATATAGCTTTGTTAAATTGTAATCTCTTTTTCTTCACGCATGCGTTTTTTCCTTAATCTGGGTAAAGCGGTTGCCCATAGCCGGGACATTGTCCGTTGTACCCTCTTGTATGACGTCATGCCATCTCTGGGACAATCGGTCGAGGATGTGGGAGAGGGTTGAAATCTTTTGGGAGAGCTAACCATAAGGGAATGTTTTATTGTGTTCACACTCCCAGTTTAAAATATCTGAAACTGACAGGATACATCTTTTCAAAGATATGTAGTTACCATAAAACCTTAGCTCAAGCAACAACAACTAAAGTTAAATAGGGGTATATTATAACAGGAAAAACAGTTATTGTAATTTAATTGGGAAATATATAGTTGATTATAGGGGCGTGGACAATGAACACTCAGTGGACGGCTAATTATGTTAACATTGCTGCAGAAAGCAGCTGATGTTGTTTTCGCAGCTGTAACTCAAGCACTGCAGCTAGCAGTAGACACATGATGCAGGCTCTTGGCATTTGTCAGGCGATAGCGTCTCTACCCACTTCATTTTGTCCTGGCCTGTGGGTTACAACGTCGGGCTCTCATGCTGAAAACCCTAGTTCAACCCCTAGTAAGGTGATGGAGTTTTTCTGTTGGAGCAACAATTTAACGAATCCTAACCTGCACAGTCCGTGGCGACAATCCTATCCAGGCGGTCCTAAATTCTCAGGAGAGACTCTCTGTCTACACCGCCCTAAAAAGTGGTAAAACAGACAGTAGACTTTTTGGCTATTCTCCTAATAAAGGGGCACAAAAAATGGCGGCCGCAAAAACACTCTAACAGAGCCTCAGTCACGTGTCAATTACGCACTTCCGGCGACTTAATTTGCGGTTTTCCGGCGACTACCGCCACCGCCGAGGGTATTCCCCCACGCCGCGTGGATTGGGGCTAAACTAGATGGCTGGGACTCACGAGCAGCAGCTTCCGCATCTCTTGCAGCTTTGCTCGTGAGTCCTAGCCATCTAGTTTAGCGCCAATCCACGCCGACGCGGCGTGGAGGATGCTCTTGGCGTTAGAGGTAGTCGCCGGAAAACTGCAAATTAGGTCGCCGGAAGTGCGCAATTGACACGTGACTGAGACCCTGTTTTTGGCCGCCATCTA